ATATGTCCAAGGGCAAGGGAGGCAAAAACAAAAATAAATGGGACCAACTGAAACTTAAAAAGCTTTTGCACAGCAGGGGAAACCATCAACAAAATTAAAAGCCAGCACACTGAATGGGAGAAGATATTTGGTAACAATGTATCTGATAAGGCATTAATATACAAAATATACAGAGAAATCACAACTCAAGCTTCCTGACTCTCTCTAAGCACCCCCTCAGTCATGCTCCCAAGTCCTTTGTATGTCATCTCTGTATTTTTCACTTTATACCAATATTTATGTTTGTCTCTTCTAGCAGTCAATAACTGCTGAATCAGGATCATTTTATATATCCCATACAGGATAATTCTATGACCTTGATTTGCCTGGTATAGTCCCAGTTCAGAGCTGTCATCCCAACTTAGTAATGAAAAACATCTTTTCATTCTCCAAAGTGACTCTATAAGAATAATAACTTATGGTAATTCTAACTAAGGGAGAGAACTAGACTCCTACTATATAATCAGTTACAATAAAAGTCTGTTAGCTTCTAACTCTACAAAAAATTTGAAAGGACAAAATGTTAGTAAATGGAGACAAATTTAACAGACAACTGCAGGGATCACATAAAAACATTATCTGATATAGCAGGTTATGCATGTAAAGAAAAAAAAAGTTACACTTTAGCTAAAGGAGTTAACTTATTGTAAATTTTCCTCACAACTGGGTCAATCTATTTTAATTGAGTTCCTGGCTTATGATTAACAAAACAGAAAAAAAAGTTTTATAAATCTTCTGCACAAAATGATTTAGACTTCTTTCTCACTAATATGTTATACAAGTCTGTCATGTTAATAAGACTAGTCTGGAAAACAGATGTCTTTATTGGAGAAATTTTTTAAGTAAACACCTGAAGACAGGACTCCACAGATTCCTATTCAATTTCTATTTTTCATCCTCTTTCTGACTAACCAGACCCTAGTTTCTTGGGGGGCAATATGTTCAATTAAGGGCTTCCCAGGTGGCACTAGTGGTAAAGAACCCACTTGCCAAAGCAGGAGACATTAAGAAACACGGGTTTGATCCCTGGGTCAGGAAGATCCCTTGGAGGAGGGCAACCCACTCGAGTGTTCTTGCTTGGAAAAACCTATAGACAGAGGAGCCTGGTGGGCTACAGTCCACAGGGTTGTAAAGAGTCAGTCACAACAGAAGCAACTTAGCACAGCATGGCATGGCACAGCATGCTCAATTAAAAAAGTACTCATCTCTTCAGAGACACAAATAGCCATGTGACCCAATTCTGGCCAATGAGCTGTAAGTGAAAAGTATTTGGTAGGCCTCGAGGAAAAATAACTGTCCTCTCGTTTGAAAAAAGAAAGACAGCAAGCTCATGCTTTCTGCCTTTCCCCTTTTTCCTGCTGAATGCAGACTTGATATAATGACTTGGGGCAGGGAACCTGCAACCTTGAGAAGCAGTCATACTCTAAACAAGTTTATACATTTGCAAAACTCATCAAACTATCCAGTTAGGATGGGTGCATTTTACTATATGGAAAATGATACCTTAATAAAGATAATTTTTATTATTTATTTTTTGGCCACACCCCACAACATGTGGGATCTAGTTCCTTGACCAGGGATCAAACCCACGCCCCCTGCATCAGGAACAGGGTGTCTTAACCACTGGACCACCAGGGAAGTCCTGAGATAATTTTTAAAAAATCATTTGCTGGACTAGATCGTAACCTTTTAACATATATTATGATTAACTTATAGACCTTTTTAAAAAAATAGGAACAAAATAAATATTTGTTAGCTTGACTTTAATTATTTGTTAGTTCTGTGGCTATTTGAACAATATAAAGTACTCTCCTGGAGGAGGAAAAATAAACACCATAGTTGAAAAGACAAATATCCACTTATGCAGTATTTGTACACACATCTGCAGTTCTTTTGGGAAGAGACTGAGTCAGGAAGACCTGACTCAACTGTTCTCAGAAAAAGAAACAAACAATTTACCAAGAAATAATAATATACTTTCTCCTATTTAACCCTTTGTAAAAATCTATAAAGCAATTTCCAGTACAGAAACCTAGTAATAACACCAGTTTTTAGCTAAGAAACAAACAAAACAATGTGCATGTAAAAATACTGTTGGTTAAAAACATTTATAGAAGATACTAGTGGCAAAATTAAATCAAAATAACATTTAAACAATAGAAAAACTAAACCAGTATTTCATAAATCATGTTTTGGAGGAAAAAAAGAGACCTGAGCATATTTCATGAAAAATGGGTATGATGTTAAATAAATTTAGGTGATGATAGTTTGAACAAGGTTAAACAAGTTTCATTACTTCTTTCTCATAGGCTTTAATGTGATCATGTGTACTGTGAATTCCTGAAAGAGGTTATATGGAATGCAGTGTGTCCTAAACGTATTTCAGTCAGACCATCTCACAGGACTTGGCTTGAAGGAGCCACATTTCAGGAAACAGTGGAGGATGACAGCACAAGTCAAATCAAATCAAATTGGGTTTTTCCTGCATATTTTGTATTCATATCTCTGTTGGAGAAGGTAATTATGCATCTTATTTAAAATATCTTCTTTAAAAATTTTAAAAAGAATCTAAATTGTCGGTAAGTTTTGACTTAATAAGAAAAATTGAATATTGCTCAGATATCCAGACTTATAAAATAACAGAGTATTATGTAGAGCTGGTCACAAGCAGAGTTGACTCCACCTTTCAAGAACAACCAACTACTAAAATCTGTGGGTTCAGTTCAGTCACTCAGTCGTGTCCAACTCTTTGCGACCCCATGAATTGCAGCACGCCAGGCCTCCCTGTCCATCACCAACTCCTGGAGTTTGCTCAAACTCATGCCCATCGAGTCGGTGATGCCATCCAGCCATCTCATCTTCTGTCGTCCCCTTCTCCTGCCCCCAATCCCTCCCAGCATCAGGGTCTTTTCCAATGAGTCAACTCTTCGCATGAGGTGGCCAAAGTATTGGAGTTTCAGCTTCAGCATCAGTCCATCCAGTGAACACCCAGGACTGATCTCCTTTAGGATGGACTGGTTGGATCTCCTTGCAATCCAAGGGACTCTCAAGAGTCTGCTCCGACACCACAGTTCAAAAGCATCAATTTTTTGGCACTCAGCTTTCTTCACAGTCCAACTCTCACATCCATACATGACCACTGGAAAAACCATAGCCTTGATCAGATGGACCTTTGTTGGCAAAGTGATGTCTCTGCTTTTAAATATAATATCTAGGTTGGTCATAACTTTGCTTCCAAGGAGTAAGTGTCTTTTCATTTCATGGCTGCAGTCACCATCTGCAGTGATTTTGGAGCCCCCCAAAATAAAGTCTGACACTGTTTCCACTGTCTCCCTATCTATTTCCCATGAGGTGATGGGACCAGATGCCATGATCTTAGTTTTCTGAATGTTAAGCTTTAAGCCAACTTTTTCACTCTCCTCTTTCACTTTCATCAAGAGGCTTTTCAGTTCCTCTTCACTCTCTGCCATAAGGGTGGTGTCATCTGCATATCTGAGGTTATTGATATTTCTCCCAGCAATCTTGATTCCAGCTTGTGCTTCTTCCAGCCCAACGTTTCTCATGATGTACTCTGCATATAAGTGAAATAAGCAGGGTGACAATATACAGCCTTGACGGACTCCTTTTCCTATTTGGAACCAGTCTGTTGTTCCATGTCCAGTTCTAACTGTTGATTCCTGACCTGCATACAGGTTTCTCAAGAGGCAGGTCAGGTGGTCTGGTATTCCCATCTCTTTCAGAATTTTCCACAGTTTATTGTGATCCACACAGTCGAAGGCTTTGGCGTAGTCAATACAGCAGAAATAGATGTTTTTCTGGAACTCTCTTGCTTTTTTGATGATCCAGCAGATATTGGCAATTTGATCTCTGGTTCCTCTGCCTTTTCTAAAACCAGCTTCAACATCTGGAAGTTCTCGGTTCACATATTGCTGAAGCCTGGCTTGGAGAATTTTGAGCGTTACTTTACTAGCGTGTGAGATGAGTGCTGCGGTAGTCTGAGTCCTTTCTTTAGTGTAAAGAGACTCAGAATTTATCCCTGGACTCTCTCAAAAATAATCCTATTACTTTGAATAAATAAAAGCTCAATTTCCTTAACTGTAAAAGTACTATAAAGTGCTCGACTACATAAACTGAAATTTTTAGCTCTAAATATGCATTTTCTGGGCTTCATTTGTGGTCCAGTGGTTAAGAATCTGCCTGCCAATGCAGGGGACATGGGTTCAATCCCTGCTCCTGGAAGATCCCACATGCCGAGGAGCAACTAAGCCAGTTACTGAACACAATAACTGGGCTGGTGCTCTAGAGCCTGGGAGCCACAACTACCAAGCCTGTGAGACTGTATTAGAGACTGTGTTCCACAACCGGGGAAGCCACCACAATGAGAGGACCACATATCTGCAACTAGAGAGTAGCCCCCGCTTGCCATAATCACAGAAAGTCTGCACCTAGCAACAAAGATCTAGCACAGCCAAAATAAATAAATTTTTAAAAAAAATTAAATAAGCCATTTTCTAACTTATGATGCTTAATAGTTATTAAGTAATGTAAGGAAGTATTTTATGAAATATAACTTATTTTCAAAACCATCATCAAGTATGAACTCTGTACAATATCTCCCTTATATTTATCACTTAAAACTTTAAATGTAAAGTTCATCTTGGAAAAAAGCAGATTTTTATGTCCCTCTACTGTCTGAAGTATTTATTTCAAATACATCCATGTTTGTGGACTTGGGAAAGAGGGACAATGGACCACAACTTAATAAAACTCTGGATATCTGAAAGCAAAGGATTATCATTTAGCCAGAAACAAAGCAAATGAACACGCTGTTACTTTTTCAACTGTTAATTATTTTCAAAAGCAAAGTTTAGCTTTGACATCATGAGAAACAATATTCCAGTGGACAAGAAAAAGGTGTAGAAGCTTTAACAAATATTCTTTAAGAAACTGTAACTGCTTACCTGTAATGGACCCAAGATAGAGCTTGTGGTATACATAAAAAAGAGACGAAGATAACTCAGAACGTTGGCAAATGCAAAAAGTCCCTCTGCCACCAGTGTAGGGTGGAATGCATCCCAGTCCTTCCGATCCGCAAAATCATGAAACTAAGATTAGGAAGAAAAAGCCAAAGGTAAGTGGCTCTCTCAATTTAGGAAAATAAAAACAAATACTCTGATCGTTGAAAGAAAACCATTTTGTCTCTCCTTGTGTCAGAACTCCATTTATGTTTCATAAACTTCTCTTTTAATAGAAATAACATTGTTTTAAATAAATAGATGATTTCTACATACGTGTAGCAATACCAATTGTGTTTCATAAAGAGGTTTTCTCAGAAATTCTCATGCTTTAAAAAACTAAATAATTTTTTAAAGATGGTCATTAAACTTTTTATGAATGAAATTTTTGCTAGTCTTTCTTAAATTCCACAACATAAGCTTGAAATTAATTAGCATTCACATTAAATTAAGCTAGCTACTTGACTCAAGACTCTACAATGCACCATAGAAGCTCTTCTCCCTTCTAAACAAGAAAAAAAAAAAGGGTGTATTATTATACCTAGACACAGAGTAACCACATGTTTCAACTGCCTGGGACACTCCCAGATTACATACCAGTTTTCCTGGCATAATTATTAACTGTGCTTTCCTTCATTTGTGTGTCTTGGTTTGAAATAATAAAATTATATGGGTACCCTGCTTCTAGAGGGTAGTCTAAGAGACCAGTCTAAAAAAGGGACCAGTCTAAAAAAACCAATGACCATCAACCTCTCTATCCAACCATTTATCTATATGTGATCAACTTTTATTTTCTTAATAACCTCACAACTCTGGTCATTGAAAATACCTAATAAACATGTTCTGTACTACTGATCAAATATAGGAATGGAGTTTTTAATAAAGTGGTATAAGAAAACCAGTTTGCTTTCTCTCTAGTCTGTAAATTAGCCAAAACTCAAAAAATATTATATAATAGTTCCTTGAATGTGACACTTCAGAATTCTCAACTCAGGCATAAACAAAGATAGTCAACATAATCTCCATTACCTTTCTTGGGCTTTAAATTAATCTTTATAAAAGTAACATTGTAAGATGTCTATAAGGTTGGATTTTTATCAAATTTTAAATATAAAACTATAGGCATCAGAAAATAATTAAATTTACATCACTTTTTAAGCTATGGGAGATAACCGCCATGATTTGGAATGTGTAAAACACTATGAGTTCCATTCAGATAAACTTTTCCCTGGTAAATATAACCAATTTAAATAACTTTGTGTTCTCAATTTAAGTAATAGGTAAATGAACCTCGCTCAGATGTAAGGAACTGGCATTTGGTAGAAAGAAAATGCCTGGACAGACCTGGATTTAAATCCAGTCTTGGTTTCTTACTGTGTGGTCTTGGACAAGTTACTTATTATCTCTGAGCTTCCTTTTCCTTATTTGCAAAATGGGGATAAGGACATCTGTCTCATAGAATCCCTGTGAGAATAAAATGAGATAAAGTATAGCAAGTATCAACCAAGGTACCTGGCATATAATAGGTAACCAACATTTAAAGGTAATTAACACCCTTGAAAGTATTAGAAAAGAAGGAAACAATGGGCACTATTTCCTTGCCAAAGATAGGTTTAAAATGAAAACACATCAGACACAGATTTGGGCCAAAGTAACTCTGAGATCCATAGCTAAATATCTTGGGTTTTCCCTAAATAAACTTCACTTGTGCCTTCAATTGACATAGTTAATAGTCACCTTGTTGTGAGCAACCACTTTGAGGGCAAAGGTTGCCAAATAAAGTGAATTCATGACAAAACTGAGCTGATTACGAGATTCTTCTAAAAAGTCTTCCAACCCTTCATACCAGAGTCTTTTAATGTCTGACCATATCATTCCTAAAAAAAAGAAAAAAAATCAGATGATGCTCTTAATAATAAACTAAAAAAATACATTAAGATTCAAAGTATTAAATAAATAACGTGTCATCTGTAACCTCATTCAGAAGAAAAAAATAACATTCAGTAAAAAGTTCTTAAAATTTGAAAGAGAAGGAATCTTAAGCTTCATCTGACAATATCTTTCCCAGAGAGGGATTTTAATAAATGATGTGAAACAAGCATAAGAAAACAAATAAGTCACTGTTAAATGTCCCCTACCCCAAGGCTCCGTTCCTGATTATTTTCTTTATCTACATTCATTCCTACAGTGACCTCATCCAGTCTGGTCTAATGGCTTTAAATAGTATCTATGTGGTAGACTCTCAAATTTTTTTAACTCAACCTGTATTTACACAATAATAAGTATCTCTAAACCCCCCTCCTAAACTTAACTTGCACAGGTACTTGGCTATCTCAAACTGGATGTCCTAATATGTCCGAACTGAACTCCTAATCTCTGCCCCCAAGCCCACAGCTCTTGAAGACTTCTGTATCTCAGCTGATGGCAACTCCATCCTAGATGCTCACTCTAAATGTCCTTGCCTCACCCCTGACTGATATTCTCTTAAACCACACATTGAATGCAATAGTAAATCCGCTGGTCCTATTTTCAAAATATAGTTAGGATCTAAACTTTCTCACCACTACTTCAAATTCAAGCCACTATCTTCTCTGGCCTGAATGTCTGAAACAACCTACTTGGTCTCCCTGCTTCTACCCTGTTTTCCCTGAAATCTATTCTCAACACAGCAATCAGAACAATCTTTTTAAAATGCAAGTGTTATTTCTCTCATCAAAACCCTGTAGCAAGTCCCAGAGGAAAAACAATTAACTGCAAGATAGAACTCTTTCCCCATGGGAACAAAACCTCATGTTATCATCTATTAAAGTGGTTTCCTTGGAAACCTACTATGTTAAGGAAAGTATGGAAAGTCAGCTGTGTTCAACATTGTTATAAAAACAATCACTGACTGGGAAACTGCATAAGTGGAATCATAGACCCCAAAAGTATACACAAATAGGACTATATAAAAACATGTTAAGAAACACAGGTTTCAGCTTCTCTGTGTGATGTTTCTTTAACTTAAAGTGTGCCTGTAGGGGGAACTACAATCTGAGGCTTTGTAAGATATCCAGATTTATAAGAAATCCTGCAGTTTTAGGCTTCTCTGGCTGGGGTAGCCCACACCCATGAATATGGCCTCATTCCACACAACTGAGTGTGCCCCCTATGGGGCTGAGAAGAAGCCCCAGTCTTTTGTAAGAACTGCCAATAAAGACATATTTGAAGCTGTCAAGCGTCAGGTTTCTGCCTTTGGTCTCTGGCAAGTGTGAATGTTAAGAACCTAAGACCACTGCTGCTGACTGTGCATAGCAGGCCCTGCACACTGCACCTTTCCTTACATCTCCTTTTATTCAGAGTCAAAACCAAATTTTTTACAACGGTCTCTGAGGCCCTACATTACTTCTCTTGGATCTCCTCTCCTCTGAATCTTTCCTTCCACTACCCTAGTCACACTGGCCTCCTGGCTTCCTTGCTGTTCTCTGAATACCCCAAACTCCCCAACTGGACACTGGCTCTTCTTCCAGCTGGAAGCTCCTCATCCAGACATCCATCCTGCATCTTTCCTCACCACCTACTCTGATCGTCCTATTTAAAATGAATAGCAAATTTATGCCCATCACTCCCAATCCTCCAACTCTGCTTCTCTTTCTTTTCCCTTAGTACTTCTCACTTTTAAACAATGGACATAGTTTACTTATTATGTCTATTATTAACTGACTATCTTTCTCCCACTTTGGGTAAAAACTCTTCAAAGTTAAGAATATTTATCAACCAGTGTCCTGAATGTCCTAAATAGTGCCTGATACGCAGAAGGTGCTCAAAAAACTTGCTCAGTGAATAAATACACATAAATAAATACCAACCAAACCAAAACTTCCTTCCTCTTCTTTGGCCAGAAGTTTCTCCAATTTTATATTCCTAGAAGTACCAGAGAACAGTACCGCAATCGAGGATTGCTTTATGATACATTCCTCCATTGAGATATTTTTAAGGAGAATGTAAAGTGACTGCAAGGAGATCAAATCAGTCAATCCTAAAAGAAATCAACCCTGAATATTCATCAGAAGGACTGATGCTAAAGCTGAAGCTCCAATACTTTGGCCACATGATGCGAAGAATCGACTCATTGGAAAAGACCCTGATGCTAGGAAAAAAATGAAGGCAAAAAGAGAAGAGGGCAACAGAAGACGAGATGGTTAGATAGCATCACTGACTCAATGGACATGAACTTGAGCAAACTCTGGGGAGACAGTGGAAGACAGGGAAGCCTAGCATGTTGCAGTCCGTGGCGTCACAAAGATTTGGACATGACTTAGTGACTGAACAACAATAAATGACAAAAGAACATGGGCGAAGATCAAGTTAAGCCATTAGAATCATCCTCTGGCTTACCAGTAGACTGAATGAAAATATTTCGAGAGTATTCTTGAAAAACTCTGTTCATGATATCTTAATTATACAGAACACATACTTTATGTACAAGATCATTTTTAAATATTTGCAGATCTGACACGGAAAATACTTTTTAAAAAATTCCATTTGGATGAGTTTTTATTTAAAATGAATAGGGACTTCCCTGGTGGTCCAGTGGCTAACAGTCCGTACTCCCAATGTAGGGGGCCCAGGTTCAATCCCTGGTCAGGGAATTAGATCCCACATTCCACAACTCAAGATCCTTTATGCTGCAACTAAGAGCTGGCACAGCCAAATAAAAATATTTTAAAATTGAAAATAGATAAAAACTATCAAAAATGTTAAAGCAAATAACTTTAATGTTAAAGCAAATAAAACAACTTATTAACCCAAACACTGTAACACTAAAACACTAAACTAAGATGCTTACAGAAATAAGTGTTTTATTTCTGTAAAATGCAATATTATACCTAAATGGAACTCGACAAAAATTACAACATGGATTGGATAAGATTTTGATTTAAAAAAGGCAGATATATGAAAGAATATTAAGTACCACTGACAGGTATTTTCCCATCTCTTATGCAACACCCCACACCAAAATGAAGCTAATATACTTGATCTATTTCACATTTCTGAATTGGATTAGAAGAACACAACAATTTTAAACTATTATAAGCAATGCAATCACTACATAATCAATGGACTATATATACATATATAGAATTATTAATATTAGCAAAACTGTAATCCCATCATTTGGGGATTCCTCAAGGCTTGCTCCTAGGTCCCCTCTTCTCATTTTATACTTTCTCAAGTGTCTCATGCATGCCCATAGTTTCATATACAACATATATATAGATTACGTGCATACTGCCAACTCAAGCTTAAACTTCCTCTTGAATTCTAGACTATGAAATCAAAATAAAAAAAATAAAAATAGACTATGAAATCAACCAATTGGATGATTGATATCTCTCTTGAGTATCTCAAAGACTCTTTAACATATCCAAAACCACTCTCAGAATCTAGTCTCTCACAAATCCCCAAACTTAGTACTCTTCCAGAATACTTACATTGCTTAATAATGTCCCACCTCCTCTCCTCCTATATATATATATATATATATATATATATATATATATACACACACATATATGGAAATATATATATGTATATGTGATATTTATATATATATGTATATACATGTATGTATGTGATATGTATATGATATGTATATGTGGTATATATATATTTCCATGTTCTATTTGCTTTACTTTATAAATCTCTTGAGTCTGTTTCTTCCTCTCTTTTTCTATCACAACCATCCTAAGTTCAAGGTATCCATCAGCTTACTGCAACAGGCTCTTTACTGGTCTCCCTCCAGCTACTCTTGCCATAGCTCTTCCTCCCAACCCATTCTCTATACTGTAGCCAAAATGATCTTGTCACTTACCCACGAAAAAAATCAGTGGTTTCCCACTGTTCTTAGTATTAAGTCAAAATTACTTAACATGGCCGACAAGGCTGTCCTGGGTCTAGTGCAAAATCCGTATCTATGGCTTCATCCTGAATTCCACTTCTCTTGCTCTCCTTGCTCCACCATTACTCAGTCCCTTCTTTGTGCCTCTTGCCACATGGTCCTTGAATACAACTTTTACATCAGCCTAGAATATTTTCTTTCCCAATTCTCCTAGAATAATTTTCTTTCCCAATTCTCCAAGTTGACTCCTATTTATTCTTTAAATTTTAGCTTATTCAGAGAGGAAAAAAGAAAAAAGAATCAAAAGAAATGAGGACAACCTCAGGGACCTCTGGGACAATGTGAAACGCCCCAACATTGGAATCATAGGAGTCCCAGAAGAAGAAGACAAAAAGAAAGGCCATGAGAAGATACTCGAGGAGATAATAGCTGAAAACTTCCCTAAAATGGGGAAGGAAATAGCCACCCAAGTCCAAGAAACCCAGAGAGTCCCAAACAGGATAAACCCAAGGTGAAACACCCCAAGACACATATTAATCAAATTAACAAAGATCAAACACAAAGAACAAATATTAAAAGCAGCAAGGGAGAAACAACAAATAACACACAAAGGGATTCCCATAAGGATAACAGCTGATCTATCAATAGAAACCCTTCAGGCCAGAAGGGAATGGCAGGACATACTTAAAGTAATGAAAGAGAATAACCTACAACCTAAATTACTCTACCCAGCAAGGATCTCATTCAGATATGAAGGAGAACTCAAAAGCTTTACAGACAAGCAAAAGCTGAGAGAATTCAGCACCACAAAACCAGCTCTTCAACAAATATTAAAGGATCTTCTCTAGACAGGAAACACAGAAAGGTGGTATAAACGTGAACCCCAAACAACAAAATAAATGGCAACGGGACCATACCTATCAATAATTACCTTAAATGTAAATGGGTTGAATGCCCCAACCAAAAGACAAAGGCTGGCTGAATGGATAAAAAAGC